GAAAGGGGTTGGGGGCCATGAGGTACTTGTAATCAGTATTTCCTAGAAAAAAAAAATTGGCTGCTGCAATCTTGATTTCTATGAGGACAGCCTTCTCTGAATGCCAACTGGAAAACTCAAAACTGGAAAGCTTTGGAGCAGAGCTGATACAGAAATGGAAAAGCACCAAGCAGTCAGTCCCCTTTGTGACTCTTGACTCAGAAGTGCTTGTTGTATGCTGTGCTGTTCATGCTCATTCTCAGTGACAGGGGACTCAGTACAAGGGGATGATCTAGCTCAGAGACAGCTGATGAAGCTGTTATCCCAAGTAACTGTCCTCTTGCTGCATGGATGGCTGAGTCATTTCTGATTCAGCTCTGAGGCTGTCCCAGTTTAGTGACATCTTTTGGTGCTGTTTTCCTTTAGAGCACAGTGTTCTTGAACATGTGGCTCAGCAGCTGTCTGTGAGCAGCCTGTTCATTGGGCACAGGGGACAGCTAAGGTTGGCAGAGTCCTCAGCCATCCCAAGCTACGTCAACCTCACTCAGCAGAGCCCCAGGAGTCTCATTCATACTACAGAGAGGAAAGGTTGTCTATGTCAGTGAGTTTGTTCTTCCCAACAGCCCAAAATATTCTTTACCTTGTGCCTCCTGGTGTGTTTCCCCATGAGCAAGTGTTAGTTTACTCAGTCATCTGGGAGAGATGGAGAAAGCAGGGCTAGCCATGGCTCAGCACACTGATGAATGCCATCTGTCTAGGTTAATAGTTCCCTTCAGCAGACATGGTACTGCATGTTGTGCTTGTCAAAGAGACTGTATTCTTACAGACTAATGGGTGTGATATTAAATAACCTCATTGGTAACCCAAATACAGGGTTGGTCTGGACTCAAGTGCACTGAAGACTAGCCTGTATTACACCATGGGATGTAGCTAAACTCCAAGAAGGCAGAAGTATTACACTCTTCTGTCAGTCATGGGGACTGCCATAAAGCACATCAGATTTATTGCAGCAACTTTAGGGTTTTTCTAATTTACGCCACTGAGAAATCGCTTCAAACAAGCCATTTGAATGAACAGTTTGTTCATTTGTCTGGTGTCTCTCCCTCTCACTCCAACATATTTCTTCCTCCCTTAGCATGCCTCCTGGCTGGGATGGCAGGGCAGGGAGAGCTGACGGAGGGCTGGCAGATGACAGCTCCCCCACTGCAGTAGACTGTTTTAAGTAGACTATTGGTAAGAAAAGAGCTTAGTACCAGTGTTACCAAAACACATTTTTATCTGTTTGACATGTTAGCAGTGAGATATCTAAGAGAAGGTCACTCTAAACAAACCTACATCCTGAGGATCTCACTGTCACTGTCCAAGCTTGCTCGGCCCTGGCAGATGAACCTTAGGATTAAAGGGTGGGCTCAGTTCAGCGCACACTGTGTCTCATCTAAAAAATCCATTGCGCAGGCTCGAAGGGTAAAAGACCTTTACCAAATCTTCGTTCGCGAAGACTGGCCATACCAAAGCTTACCAGAAGACACAGGCCAATCAGCTGGCAGTTATTTTTCAATGGGAATTTCATCATTCTATCTCTTATCTAATGTCAAAGAGTTCAACTTGCTGGAACCATTTTGATAGGAAGGGAAGCAATTGAATTGCCTACCTGATAGAGAGGAGAGAGCAGGAGGGTGGCCAAATTGTGGTCTGACATCAGAGTTGCATAACTACAAGTAATGACATGGTATTCCTGAAAAATCAATTTCTAGGTTAATGAACATGTCCCCCTGGCCAATCAGCTTACACAGGGAAGCATAGTGTTGATCCTGAATTTAGTAATAACACTCAGTGTTTGAGATAAAGACCTACCATCTGCCCTGCTTTAAATAAGGGATACATTTTAAATTCCTATTACGCAATAGTATGGCATTTTGTACATCAAACAGAAAAGACTATATATAGGACGAGATGAAACATATTATTTGACTTGCAGCTTTAAGTAATGATTGATGTTGCTATACAGGTAACAGAAGAGGTAATTATAGATGATACTGATATTCTTAATTCCTCAGCATCTCCTATTAGTGTTTCCAGTTCATTAAAACATAGACAATCTTCAAAATATGTGGGAAAATTTCATTCTCTGTGGTTCCGCTCCTTTGGCAAAAAGACCAGAGAACAGTCCATTTGGCTTGGCAATAAAGAGAAACCCTTAATTTTTCCCTAGAGAAACCAGTACCTGTGTGCTTCAGAGAAGAAACTTGAAGTTGCCAGAGAGGGCTGTTGTGATAAGTATACACTTCTTCCCACATTCTTCATTTCTTTCCCAAGTGCTCAAAGTGCAAATCTGTGAGAAGCCATGGAGTCAACCAGACCTTGCTGGAGAACTGTAGTCAAATTCCAGCCTAGACCCAGGCATGATCTTCAGTGGCTGCTTCGAACCATAGCTAGTACCCCTCTCTTGTTCTTCCAAGGCTCCCTGCTGGGTCCTGGCAACTGGGGGAAGAACCTGAATGACCCTCATGTGAACTACAGAGCTGTGGCCAGAAGGCTTGAAACAGAAGGAGGAAACTAACACTGTAGCTTCATGATTGCTTTAAGATCCCACAAACTGGCTCTGTGGCTGGAAGAAGCCATCCTAGCTCTCATTTCGCTGGTCACACATTTCTGCTCTCTTCCTCATCTGCCCACAATTAGTCCTGTATTTGCACAGTGACTGACCAACTGATTCCTGAGTGACTTTGAGCTCAGATAATTTCCATTATTTGATTCACCACTCTACTGCACTAACATTTGTGCTGGCAAAAATCAAAGAGCTCCAGCTCCAGCGAAGCTGGATTTCACTTTTTGTCACCTGGAGCTGTACGTGTGAGTCATGAAAGTATAAACTGGTCAAGAAAGTACAGCGTTAGTGTTAAGGTGGTTAGTGTAAGCAGCATCCCCACTGAGCTAGCATTGAGCCTGCTTATTCATAGATCAGCCAACCTCCTCTTGCTAGCCTCATTCATCATACACTGCCCAGTTCCTACAACAGATGAGGCAGACAGTAGCTTCTTGCACTATTTCATTCCAGAGCAGGTCAGACAAGGCACTGAGTGGCACCTTCTTGCAAGAAACAAAGTAGAGTGAGACTCTGAGTGCTTCTGTGGGGAGAGGGTGTTTTGAAATGCCTTCCTTTCAAGTGTTTAGATTGTAAACTCAGTGATACAATTTTAACCAAAAAAATAGTGTGCAATGTACATGTTTACAGTGTATTCACAAGCCTTTGAAAGCTAGTAGATGGCAAAGAAATGTGGTTCCATGGCTAATTGAAGTGAACTGGATGACAAGCTATGCCACCCACACTGTTCTCCAAGTACTTGGCACTGGTGATGCCACACCTCAAATCCTGTGTTCAGTTTTGGGCCTCTCACTTCAGGAAGGACATTGAGGTGCTGGAGTGTGTCCAGAGATGGACAACGGAGCTGGTGAAGGGAATGGAGCACAAGTCCTATGAGGAGCAGCTGAGGGAGCTGGGGGTGTGAATAAGCAGCCCGGAGAAAAGGAGCTCATGGGAGACCTCCCGACTCTCTACAGCTACCAGAAAGGAGGTTGTAGCCAGGTGGGGGTTGGTCTCTTCTCTCAGGCAACCAGCAATAAGACCAGAGGATATAGTGACATAGTAGTAAGCTGTGCCAGGGAAGGTTTAGGTTGGATATTAGGAGGAATTTCTTCATAGAAAGGGTGATCATACATGGGAATGGACTGCCCAAGGAGGTGGTGGAGTCACTGTCCCTGGACGTGTTTAGCTGGACGTGGCACTAGTTGATATGGTGGTGTTGTGTCATAGGTTGGACTCGATGATCTCAGGTCTTTTCCAACCTAACTGATTCTGTGATTCTGTGATACTGCGATTTTGAACCCGCAGCGCTCGGCAGGGCAGGACCAGCGGCGTGACTGCGCTCCAGGACGGCTCACCAAAGCTAACTCCTCTCCTCCTTCCTTCCTTCCCTCCCTCCCGCGGCCCCGGCGGGGCGCGGGCAGATGTCCCCTCGGGCTCGCCGTAGCGGCCCCCTCTTCCCCCCCTGCCGGCGGCGGCACCGCCCTTGGGCGGCCGTGACGTGTCGAGGTCGCGCGGCGGCGGCAGTGACGCAACGCGGAAGCGGGCGCGAGCGCGCCGCCGGCGTGGTTCCACGGCAGCGGGCGGCGCCGGGAGGAGTGCCGCATGCGCGCGCGGGCCGGATTGAGCGTGAGTGCGGCGGAGGCAGCGCTGCGGCGGGATGGGAGGGGGGCGGGGGGGCTCGAGGCTGAGGGGGCGCCCGGTTGCTTGGGACCGGGTCCGGGTCCGGGTCCGGGATGGGGAGAAGAAAAGAAAATCCTTGCTCCGGCCAGGTGCGGTAGTTTAGGCTCTTCCCCCTGTAAAGACCTGAATGTTGTCATTCACAGAATCACAGAACGGGTCAGGTTGGAAGGGACCACACCTGGTCCAACCTCCCTGCTCAAGCAGGGTCATCCCACATGGCACAGGATTATGCCCAGGCGGTTCTTGAGTATCTCCAGTGAGGGAGACTCCACAACCTCTTTGGGCAATCTGAATCGAATTCAGGTTATACACGTTAACTCTCGTTAAGGAAATCAGCACGCCGAGGGTTAAATTTATGTTTCCGAGGCTGTGGTTCGCCACTCAGTGACTACCCGCCTCTTTAGAGGAACGTTCTGATTTTTTCTTTTCTGTGGAGAACAACAACCCCCACCCCTGGTATCTCCACTCTCAGATTGTCTGTTAAAGGAAAAAGGAAAACTTGTTTTCCTGGATAACTCTTTGCACGAACAGAGCCATAGCCGTAACTAATTATTCAGACTTAAATGAATACAGCAAACAAGAACTAAAAAAAACCCCCAAAAAACCCCAAAAAAACCCCAAAAAAACCCAACACCCAAACCCACCCAGTGCACAAATATTTTTAACATAGCCATGGTTAGCTGTGAGTTGTCATATAGCAGTTCTGTATAATACTGTTAATGTTAATTTTATGCCTCTTTTTATGTAGTCATGTGCTGCCTCATTAGCTATTAAACGTTGTGGAATACATCTGCAAGAAGAAATTCAAGGTCTTCTGAGGGACACCGAAGCGAGCAATGTCTTTAAACCATGAGGAAGTGCAGGGTGTATGGATAGACCCAGTACTGTGAATGTAGGTAGCATATATAATCATTTAAATCAAAGTGGTTTTGATGGTTTTATTTGGAAGTAAGCCTAAAATAGAAAAGAGCAGTTGGAGGCAGAGATGTTGAGGATAATATGTCAGAAAAACTGCTGTGCATAAAAGTGAGTTATTTCTGATTTTAATATCAACTCTGTACCTACGTACTGCTTAATATCAGTTTTGCCACAGCCTTCCCTTCTGTAAAGTGAGAGTCTGAAGTGAAAACTATTGTATAACAGGCTCCGTTTTTCAAAATGGCCTTTACCAAAGATTTTGTTGGGCAGGCATGAGAGGTGAAGATGAGGAATAGCCCGAGAAACATTTTGCCAAAACTTTGAGCCAAAACTTTACTCAAAGAACAAGATTTAACCCACCTTTACATCTCACATATAAATGGGTACTGAAAGACTGCAGATGTTAGGAGTGTGTGTTTCCAAAGTTCACTCTTACCACGGATTGCATTAATGCAGTTTAGTTTTTTACTACTATTTGAGATGTCTAAGTAATATTTCTCTGTTTGTATCTCAGTGGTTTCTGCTCCTTTGCAGTTAATTTCAGACATAATTTAATTATGTTAAGATAAAGCTCAATGTAGGCAGTAAAAGCTGCCTGAAAGATCTGCAGACACTTGGATGGCTAGTCCTGAGCTTTCGACTGCCATGGCTAGGGAGCATCTTCTGCTGGTAAAGCAAAGCACAGTTCTTTACTCATTTGAACAGATGCTCCCAGAGTAAGGAACCTTTTTTGATTTTCCCATGAGTGTGTTTCAAACATTGTATTCTTTATTGGGCCTATCAGATGTGAGAAAGAAGCTGTTAGTGGAGGATCATCAACTTGCACTTCTGTGTATTCAGAAACTTCATGTAATGTCTTTCCAAAAGGCAGATGTTTAGCAATGAACATATGGGAAGACCGTTTAATCTGCTTTGTGTGTCAACTGGTGATAGGTGAAATGAGGCACTCAAAACCACACAAGGAAGTTCTGTTATTGCAGCGAGGGGCAGTGAAACATGCATCACCTGATAGGAATGCTGTAAATTGTTGTTTGCACTCACGAGAAATGTAGTTAAGATTTGGCTGAGTTCTTACACTTCCTCTTAATAATAAGTATCCATGTTGCCTTATTGACCTGTAAAGCAGCACATTCAGTCAGTGGCTTAGATGAGACTTGAGGAGTACCAGTATGAAAGAAAGGAAAACACAGAGCATGTCCCTACTCTCCCTCGTCTCTGGTCTTTGTTAGGTACCATCATCACTTAGGTAGGCGCACACCTTCCCATTTTGACTACTAGGTGTTGCACCAGCTGGAGAGGAGCTGGAATAAAGAACGTCTGGAACATGTTTCTTCAAAAGCTCGCGAGCCCATCTGTGCTCTGGTATATGAGCAAATGAGGGTGATAATTGCCAATAGTTGTAATCCTGTGTTGGCTGGGGGGGGGGAACTCTGGTGACCTTCCTGGAGAGGGAGGACTATGGAAAGGGAGCTGCTTTTCATGTTCACGTTATGCATTTTGAAGGTCTGCAAAAACTTGGAAATTAGGAAGCTTATGAAAAGAACCGAGAATACGTACAGCATGTCAGAAGTATCCTGCATCAAGCTGTAGCTGTTAAGTGGATGCCCAGATGTAAGCTGTTCAGAACTGCACAAGCATATGTTGAACTTCCCAGCAAACATACAATACTCGTCCAGTTGTCAGCTATTCTCGATCCATGGACTTTCCCATCCAGACCCGATTTCTGTGTATTGAGACATCCTCACTATGTACTCTGCCATGAAATACTTGGTATCCAGATGAACCCTTATAGTTAATTTAGGCATGTCAGTATTTTAGGCACAATTTTTATATCTCAAGGATTTTCCTGTTAAGATTAGTACTTTAGCATCTCAAGATAGTATCTCATACTTGATATACTTAGGTAGATAGGGAATACCAGGTCATTTGTGGAACTGAAGAAGCACTTGAAACTGGTAGAAAGATGCACCTTGGTTAGTTAGTTATTTAAGTACTAGTACAGATGTAATAGCTTTAATGTGGTTTAAGTACATAAAGGCTGAAGTTTTAAGACACTGATTTAAGAAACATACTGTAGTTATATCCCTGCAAAAGTTGTGCAGACAAGTTCTGGTTTGAAATGCTTCTATTAATTGCTTCTATTAAATGTCAGCTTAGAATCATATTCATCTGTGAGACTTCTGTGTGATGATCTCTGACAGAGATCTGATCTTATTTATGTCTGTGATAATTTCATGTACGATTTGCCTTTTTTGTCTGTACAATCAGCTATTCTGAATTCTAGGCTAATGGAGAGTTCCTGCCGCGCATAAGGGCATGTGGCAAGGCAAGTTACTCTGTGTTTGCAGGTGCTGTGCCTGGAGTCCTGCACTGCCAGTTTGTGCAGGACTTGTAACATTTACAGTTACTTACTTGTAGTTCTCATTATTTCTGTAGGGTTTTCCTCCTTTCCTCACCTCCTTTGTGAGTTAAATTAAGGTTTGGATCTCTCAAACTTTACAAGAAAGGAATAATGTAATTTTTTTTAGTACTTTGTTTGGAGAGAATGATTTTTGAAGAAAATAGAGGTTGTTATTGTTAGATCCTTGTATTGGTGATTTGTTTACCTTGCTTATAAGGGCTGCTATGCATGCAGCACATGGTACCTGATCCCAGAGTTCAGACTGGGCTTGTGGAAGGGATTTCAGCTCCTTTTCTGCAATTCTTCATTAATGTGATGAACCAGTAAGAGCACTGTTCAGCTGGTGAAAAGAAGTTTTATTCCAAGCCAAAAGGGAGCACTACCATTAAAGTCTTATGGTTTCATTTCTTTCCAGGATGATGCTCATACAACTTTATTGAAAAACACCAGCACCATTCCATCACCCTCCCAGTCCTAGCAGCTTTTCCATATAAACTGTACAGCTTTCTATGATCGAACCTTCTGGAACAGCACTAGAAAATCAGTTATGTGGTGGCTCAGTTCTGGCATAACTCAAAATGTTGGCTTTATTTTGGAAAATGCTGGATTTGTGTTTTTTAGAAATTACGCATTTAACAAAAAGGAAGATGTGTTATGTAGGATTAATTATTTGATCTTATTTCCCTGCCAACAGAACTAGAAGTTACTTGTTTCCAAGAGAATGCAATTGGTCTTTTCAGTACTTTTCCCCTCTCTGTTTTGTCTTTAACCTAATGATAAGCACCAAATAGTTGTGGAAGAGATGTCGTTGCTTGTATGTGTATTTGTATTTAAGTGTCCAATAATAAACTTCAGTTCAGTTTTCTGTTTCCCAAGCTTTGGTGGAGTTCAGATGAGAATTCAAAGCCTGAGCATGCATATCTAGCAGATCTGGAGTTTTGCATTACTCCTTGTTAGAGATGATCCTGAAGGGATGAAGTATATATGTAGAGTGCATAAAACTCATCAAGATCCCGTGCAGATAACTGAGTTGTTAGTGATGTCAGTCCCTTTAGATTAAGTTGTCATTACAGGAGACATGGTGTCTGGGATGTTTAAATTATTAATGTATGAACTAAAATGCAACTTTTTATCCCTCTAAGAAATGCTTTCTCTTGCTGAAGTCTTAGGACAATAGAAAGCCCTAGCATAAGAAGAATCTGCAAAATTTTTACGTTTTGGAGCACGGATACGTGTGCACGTACATATGTCTAATAATGCCTAGTAGTTATCCTGGCTCTATGAAGCAGCGTTAATATTTTTTTCTTAGTGTTGCATGTTATCTCAGAATTCGGTTTCATTTTCTTTGTGGAAAAATGAATGGGGTCTATTTTCTGCCCCTTTAGAAATGTGACTGACAACTAATTCTATGCTTTCTTTTGCTTCCTGTAGGCTGGCACCGATGAGATTATATACACTGTCCAAAAGGCATTTTGTTCTGGTCTTTGTAGTATTCTTTGTTTGTTTTGGTCTGACAGTCTTCATAGGAATAGCAGGTAAGGACGTTGTCTTTTTAGAAGATTACAGTTCTTGTATGCTTTATCTAAACCTGGTGGTATTTACACATGTATTTAAATGCTAATGAGCTTAGTGCCCCTGGGATGTCTGAGGAAGCATTACTCCTGACAGGAAGGGGGAAGTGTTTCTTCCATTTCATTTTTTCATAGGAGTACTACCTACAACGACTTGGTATTTAAAAGTGCTTTGCAGGGAGGAGTCAGTGAAATAAAACAAAATCAGTTTCATAATTTTCAAAACCAGTAACATAATTTTTCAGCAGACTGCTACATTAATTGTTTTTCTTTGTATTTCTGTCTGTAAAATGGTGGTGCTAATACTTGATTTCCTGTGAGGAAACTGCTAACTGTTTGTAAAGTCTTCTAAATAGGTAATAAATGCCACAGAAATAATAAATATTTTAGTAGTATAAAAATATGAACTTCAGTTGTCAAACATATACGAGCTTTGGTCTCTGGTTTCAAAGACCTTTGTTGGAGTCATGATGTGATCTGAGAGGCTAAGCACTTAGTGCCTGAGTACTTATCCTGGAGATCAGAGATTTGATCCACAAAGATGCAGTGTCACTAGGGAGTTGAAAAGCATGGGAGCCCTCTATTTTATGCCAGAGAGCTTTTCCAGGTATAAAACATACTTGAAAAAGAAGTCAGTGTGCTGTCACAGCAGTGTTAATATACTAGTACTCTGCTGTCAGGAGAGCTTTGTCAATACAGAAGTGACAGGGAGAGGGGAAGGGAGGGACTTGTACTCATTAAGCAACCCATCCTGTATATAAGAATTACTTAAGGTTGTTACCATCTTCCCCCACTTTACTGCTTACTTCCACATCACCAAGCATGTCCAGTGTGTTCTCCTGTGCCCCTCTCTGACACTTTTTGACCTGTTTGTTGGATTGTTTCTACCTCTACCCTGTCCTTCATTTCCTTTAGAATTAGAAGGGCTGCTCAGGCCTGGGAGTCATCTGCTCCTGCCTGCCTTGGAAAGAAGAGGGGATTAATTGGAGGCAGCTGTCTAGGCTTTTTATGCCCATCTGTGCCTTGTAGGCAGTACATTTTTCATAATAGCATTAAATAATAAAATTTGTCTGTGAAATAAAACCTTCTTTCCTGCAGTTTGATTTATTGTAGCAGCCTAAGGTCCAAATAGACTTTCAGTTCATAAAGGTTAACCACTGATATTCCTGCGACTTGCCTAAGGATGCTGAAGAACATTATTTGGCCACTAAAATACTGTAGAAATACATTTACAAAAGTGCATTTTATATGAATGATAAAGAGCAAAAAATGGAATTACCTAATTTATTGTAATTTGGCTATTTGCTATAAAATTGAACCATATTTGTAGTTGTATATTTATACTGCCAGGTTACAAGAAGTGAAAGTTGTTTTACGTAAGATAGGCAAAAAGCAGTGCTCCTGGAAGAGAAAATTGAGCATTTCATTCTTAATGGATATCAGAACCTGAGAGAGAGCTGTGTTGGTGTGTTGCATTGTGTCTGTGTGTAGAGCAGTCTGATGATGTGGTTACCTTTGGCCCAGGGGACTTGGCTGCTGTAAGCAACACTTGGTCATCTGTACCCTGCTGGGGTCCCAGGCCTTGCCTGTGATCCCCTTCAGGAACTGCCATGGCTGTGGGATTTTTGTCCTTGTAAGATTGGTTTGCTGGATAGTTTTGTTGACAAAGCATGAACACTATTTATTATTATAACTTAATTATTTTTAAAAGAATGGTGTTTACCTTGGGAGGAGATCTGATGAACACTTACTGTGATATTTTTTGTGACTTTTGTTGACAGCTGCTTGCTTCCTGTGAATAGAAGGAGGGGCAGTAACAGTAGAATGCTCTGTCATTAAAGGGTGCAGTCTGAGAAAAACTCACCAAACCCACTAAGTAAATGAAAGCATGGGAGATACATCCATATTTTCCATGCTGCCTGAATATGCCACCGCCCATACTCAACATCTCTACCTGCAGTTTGGGAAGCCTAGCAGAAGTCTTGCTTTTCATCTGAGAAAACAAGACAGTTTAATCTATGGTGGCAGTTTAATCTATGGTGGCAGTTGCTCCTCAGTTCTCGTAACCCAAGACAGATGCAGACTTGTTTGATCTTTTTCCCAAGTTGCACTCACTTTCTTTCCCTTGTCCCAGTGGGTCTATGTTATCTCTGGGGTGAGACAAGTGTAATGAAAATCCAAGGTGCAGAACTCGTTTTTCTGTACCTGTGCAGTTTTCCTGTTCACCACCTCAGGGTGGTTCTTTGCTTTCAGCTGTGATTCTGATAACTGAGCAAGACTGAAAAAACCCCAATAACAATTTAAATTAGTCTCCACAGTATCATTATGGTCAGTTGCTTAAAAAAGCTCTTATATATTGCTTGCTTCAGAAGTAGCAGTTAATGGCACTAGAACTTCATTATTTGTTTGGTTGCTGCTGTTAAAAATTGTAACTGTGATTTCTCTGTCCCAATATTGGTTCATATCTTCCAATTAAAAAAAAAACTTATAAAAAAAGGCCAATTCTTTTAGTTTTGTCAAGAACTGATTACTGACATATGATGACATCGTCCGTGAACACTTACTGAAATTGAGTTATGCTTTTTAAAACAAAAAATGCCTTTCAAAAATCTGCCCTGTTTATATGTACTTGAGAACTGAAAAATTCAGTGATGCAGAACTGACTTTATAGTGGGTGGCTGTTAGTGATGTTGAACTGCAATCCTAATATGAAATTTTGACTATGATGGGTGAAATTCATAATTTTTCCATTTAAAGTCTGTAAGATGGTTAATACTGTTATTAGAGTGGTTGTAGGAGCCCAAGCAGTACTACATGTTTAGAGCTGTCATGACAGGTAACCTAAAATACTTCTTGCACAGAGTGATCCTATGTTGCTTATTTATAAACTTCCTTCTTTTCCATTGTTTCTCTGTAGTAACTTTGAAGTCCATGGTCTCTGTGAAAAACTGCTTTTCTTGCATAAGTTTTTTAATACTGAGCTTATGGCTGAAAGAGCATATTGTGAGGATTAATAAATTACATTAAATTGCCAGACCAAATATATAGAGGGAGAGACCATTTGGACAGCGAAATCTTACTATGATTGGGAAGCCTCTGGTGACCAAATACAAATATGTATGTCCTGCTTTTGTTCCTACCTGCTTTACGTCTCCTCTGTGTTTGTTCACACCCCAGTGTATAGACACAGATCTGTTTCTACTCTTCCCTTTCACTTTTCTGGTTTAGTCTTTTCGTGTTTTGTGTATGTACAAACATGTGTGCATTCTTCTTCTTCCCAGTAGTGTGTGTTCTTCCATACCTAGGAAGGCTAAGGGGAAATTGTAGCACTATCTACAACCGCCTTATCAGAGGATACACAGAAGATGGGCCTAGACTTTTCTCAGAGGTGCATGATGATAGGGGGAGAGGCAACAGACATAAGATGGGAACAAAAAGTTCCAGTTAGATATTAGGAATTTTTTCTTACCATAAGGGTGATTAAATACTGAAACAGGTTTCCCAGAGAGGTTATGAGAGTCTCTGTCCTTAGAGATGTTGAAGACTTATTTGGACATAGCCCTGAGCAACCTAATTAAACAAGAATGGACTAGATATTCTCTGGAGGTCTCTTCTAACATAAATTATGATTTGATTGCTTCCCATTTACTGCATATAGAACTAGAGGTAGGATGTGAGTGGATGGATCAGTACATGTTAAGTGCGTACATGTCTGTATCCAGAATGATTGGAGGAATGGTTGCATAAAAGGTCTGGTATTGAGTTGAACATCTCCCACTGCAATTGGACATGCAACTCTATTAAATGGATTGTCTGCTTTGGGAGAAATTGTTTATACAACTTCTATGCAGTTATCTTTATTTATGTGATGACATTCATTGTGTATCATAGCCTCAGATTTCTGTAGAAAAGGAAGGGCCCAGTCTGAGTAATGAGAACTGTTGCTAAACAAAATGTGGGTATCTTGGCTTGAACAGACCAATGCAATGAAAATCCATCTTTATCCAGAAAGTACTGTTACTGTGATTGTATGGGCAAGTACGTTACACGTGCATAAAAAGGCATTGGCTTCTTGCACACAAATACAATGGGATGTGTTTGCCCTGGTGCCCAAGCCTTGAGTGCAATGTGTTACGGATGCTGTGCTCCATTTAAACTAGGTAATGGTAACAATTTGGCCATGCAAACTTTATAGTTCAATTAAACATGCTGTTTTTTCAGGTGGTTTCTGCAGCCCTTGTTAAACTTTGAGTCTCTATAACAAAAGCGCCACTGGTGCTTAGCCAGCTTTTTCTATAGCTGAGTACTTTCATGACTGCACTCCCATGAAAAGCTTGGGATATATTTATATAAATACCATGTGGTTTGTTGTAGTAGAGTACACATTCAGGGCTTCTGACATGGAATTCTTGATTTATAATTTACTTCCTATTTAATCATACTTAGAAATACTATGTCAGAACTACTTAAAGGAACATTCAGGCCAAGTTTATAAATTATATTGAAATGTCCAAGTGATTTACCCTCCAATTTAAACGTCTGAAAAGTGGGATACTATTTACCTGATTTGCAGGCAGGGTCTTAATACAGTCTTTTGAAAACCTGTATTTACATCATTACTTACCAGTAATATGTATACTTCAATATTGTTTTCTTTTTTCCTTCTTATATATTGTGCAGGTCCTAATGTAATTGAAACTTCTGTAGCAAGAACAGACTTAAATAACAGCCTAAAGGTAAGAGTTAAGTATAGTTGGATTATATGAATGGTTTTATTTGATGTTAGTAATATTAAACATGACCTTTCTTCCCCCTAATTATTTTAATTATTTGAACTTTTACTGGAAAACGTCTTTTCCATGCTTTCCAGTTTGAAACTGAACATGCAATATTGTTCTACCACTGTGTTATTTATGCATGGCCCAGCAGCAATTTCTAGTCTGTTACTGTTGTGAGCAGGCCAGGTAGAGAATTCTAGGATGTTTCCACACAGCAGTTTCTGATAAAGTAGCATTTGAGTTTTCCCCTGGTGAGTTAAGGTTGGAGATTCTTGTAGGGGGTTCAGAAATAGAAATTGAGAACATAAACTGAAAAATGATGCACTCAGTGGCAATTAATGATATCCCTCTTGTGATCTTCCTTTCTACCATCTGGGAAGGAATATTTCTGTTTCTTGTTAATTGTTCACTGTCACGTGACCAAGACGTGGGATCTGGCTTCCTAACATGAACCTTCACGTTCACGTTCTTAAAACTTTCATATTTTGGTTCTTAGTTCTTGCAATTTTTTTCTAGATAGCTCTTCACTGTCAACGTAATATCTGAAGTATTTTTTGTGAAAGTGCTAAAAAAGTTTTGGTTTGGGGTTTTTTTAAGTAAATTTTTTTTAAATACACTGGAACATTTCTTTGTTTTTCATCTATTAGTCACCTATATTTGTTTGTACTGATACTGTATTATGGGTGGATTTTCTTTTTTTTAAAGCACATTTTGATTTCAAATAAGAGAAGTCTTCCCTGCATGTAGGTTTTATCTGTTAATGATATCTTCCGTTCTTTTGAACGGAATGTGGGATTTTTAGAAAGCCTAGTGGAAAATAGTTTTGTTTTCATAATTATAGTAGAACAGGTTTAAAACTGTGGCAGATAAAGGGACGCAAAACTGACTTTTGATGTGAAGTGTTAAAAATTATTACTTATGTTCAGGCTAGGTCTCAGGATTTTGTTTTTCATGTCTGAACTTATCTGCTTTAATGCTACTGCTCTTATGGGCTTTAGGTAGTCATACCTGTCCTTGCTTCTGTGCTGTGCAAAACACGTGGGCTGTTTAAGCTAATCCTCTGAAAGACTTCTGTTTGAGCTGCTTATCATACTGTCCACAGAGTACCATATATTAAATCTTTTCCCAAAAACATTTTCACAGACATAATTAACATGCCTTTCATCATTGTAACTACAGATATGCCATGTAACAGTGTAATGGCTGGTGCTAATCTTATGGGTTTTTTTACAGCTGAAGCCATTTAATTTAAGTTCTCCACCGCTGTCAACTTACAATCAGCAGCTGTGGCTGACCTGCGTAGTTGAGTTGGATCAGCATGATGGTGAGAATCTTACATAATTCTCAGGAAACTTGAGAATAGAAAACTTGCTATAGCAACCTGTCTATTGTGTCTTCAATTTCATCTGTCACACAGATGAGCCTGTTGCTTTTTGTCTATGGTTGGTAGATTTTTCCTCTAATGCTTTTTCTTCCTCTCCACCCCCCTCCCTCAGTAAAGACATGGACAGCACTGACTGAATTGTAAGAAACAAGTATAGGGGAATATTATTTGTTATTTCTGTGAACACAGTAATATCCAGATAATCTGTCTTTCCTCCTTCATTTTTGGGGGAATTAGATGTGTAGTCTGTAATGATATTAATTTTTCAATAAAGCTTCCCTGTATATATATGAGAAATACTGTATTAGTAATTGTTAATCTGTCAAGATTCACTACAGGGCTTGAGACTTACTGTGTAAGTATTAAAATACTGTACCCCTACTTCAGTAAAGTATAACTGAATAACTCTGAGTAATATCTGGATAACACACATTTTGACCTGCATCTGAAACTCTATTTGGGATTTCATCTCTGAATGTAGCAATAGGTTGATGTTTTCTGTTTTGTTTACAGTATCCCTCAAAAAGAATGTTACTATGACAGTCAAAGTACTTGGAGTGGTGAAGGATGGAAGCACACCATATGTTAATAATCAAGTTCACAATCGAACGAGATTACTCAGTTGTGCACAAGTATGTACTTGCTTAAACAAAACTTTGATGAAGTGCACTTTCTTTAAATCTGTTTGTGTGCATGTTGCTTTACATTGCAAATAAGAAGAATGTATCTGTTAAACATGTCTCCGGAAAGACTCTAGAGTATGGTTTTATTTATAATGGCAACATAGTTAGTAATGCTGACCAAGTATCTTCCTATCCATCGTTTTTTTGCTTACTTCTGACTTGTGTCTATTACCCATTAAAGACCCTTCTTTCTTGTTAGAATTGCTCTTTGTCAGCAAAACAGTGTGTCCTGTTTAGTCGCTTAAACAGGTTTAGCAATACTGAATAGAGGCCAAGAGAACAATATGCTTGGGTTTTCTCTTTCCTGCTGTTAGCTTTTAAAAATGAGTTAGTACAAGATAGCCCCATCTCACAATCTGATGACCTAGAGTTTGACTGACAGTTATTCATATCCATCCTGGTGCTGCAAGCAGGTGCTGTCACCAGCTAAAGTGAAAAGCTAGCCTTGTTTATTGTTCAACGACTGACTTTATCAGTGACTGACTTTATCAGTTTCTTCTGTTTTGCCTTTTTATCTTTCAAGAAGCTCTTGATTGGACTGATTGAGATTGGTGAGACATATAATAAATATCATCAATATTCAACCATTTAGAAACAAATTCTCTATCCTATACTGACAGTGCATATTCTGGAATAATTTGAAGACTTCAACATACTATTCCCTACTGTATGTGTTCACAGAAATGCAGTGAAATCATTGTTGCTCACCTTGGCTACCTGAACTACACTCAGTACAACATATTTGTTAGCTTTGAAGATCTAAACAAGTTAACATACACTATCCAGAATATTACTTTCACAGTAAGTATAAAGTTTTATACTAGTAAAACAAGTCTCTTTAATGCTGTAGAGGTGTGCTTTGACTGTAACAAAAAAGTGTCTGATTTTTGAAGAGAAATATAAAAATGCATTATAATTAATTTTTCTGTCACTACTGATGTCAGAATTATTGTAGCATTTACTGTTCATAACAGTCTAGACCAATTTTTTCACCTCTATAGGGAAAGATTTTTCTCTCAGAACTGCTGATGCTGTTTTTTGTAACAGATAAATTTAGTCTTAATTCCTGGCAGATATTTTTAATAATTGACAGACTAGACTAGAACATTCAGTTTTCTGCATTTGCTTATAGAGATGTTGCCTTCTGAAGCATGGTATCTTTTTCAGCTTTTCCAGGAGATTTATCTGAATTAGCAAATTTTCCAGACTTCACAAAAGCGTGGGCTAGAAAGACTTAACAAATTCAAAGAAAAATGAAGTGGTTTGGTTTTTTTTTTTTTTAATGATTGTGCTTATAAGGAAGGGAAAAATGGTGTTTATTTTCAGCAAAAATAATCAGGCTACTAAACTAATTCACTAAAATAATCCCTGGTGAAATAATTATCTCAGTACATAGTTCTAAAGACTGCTTATAAAACACATCATCAGTGTATGTTGATTGGCTCCAGAAAGAAATTTGCACTGGGAGAAAATGGAACTAAACCAAGTTTATAATACATGTTCCTATGCTGTATTCTACCTGTATACAGCATTTGGAATGTCAGAGCAGGTAGCAAGCAAAAATCTTACTGTAAAGCAAAAATGTTTTTTATATACTAAATTAACTTTCTAAATATTAATATTTGTAATATTCTAGTGCATAAAGCACATCATTAAAAATAAGCTCTAAGGGGAAAAAACCCCTAAGCTCACAAACCATTTGTTTAGTTCCAGATTTCAAACAGGACAAAGTGTTGGGGCATTTGTAGTTGTACAGTTTATTATCTTGCTTTGCAGGCTGCCTTTAAGGCAGACCTGTGTGCAACACCAAAAAAACCTCTAACCCAAAGCCCCACTTTCCTGCAGCAACTGAAATTATCAAATTTATTTCATTATTACAATTGTTTACGATGACCTCAGTTGAAATTGTAGATTGCCTTTTGCATAATAGGGTTCTCTACATATAATTTTCATTCTACATTTACAGTTTAAAATGAAAGGTAAAGCTTCTTGTTCACATGAGCAGAGCATGTGTTGTACCAGGGAGTTTACATTTCAAAAATGGTTTCAAAACAGAAGCATGCCAGGTATGAGATAAATTGTTGACAGAGTAGAGTTTTTGCGAACTGACATGTTATAATGAATGTTTGTGCCCTGTTGGATGAGGGAAGAGAGTGATGCTCAATATGAGAATCAGCAAGCTTCGTTTATTGATCATTGCTAACAGCTTAATAGATGCTTTATAATTAGCTCATACATATTGCAAAGGTTAAGCTCATTATTGGCTCTGCTTAGATGTTGATTCCACCCCTCACTCATTTCTTATGTTGACACAGGTGGCACTCAGTTGCTTTTGTTTTGCTAATCACAATGTCCTGTTTACCAGCCAGCTAACACGGTACAAGGGCACTGTAACCTCCCTATTTAAGATGTTCCCACGGCCTAGGCAAGCCGTGTTCTATAGCCAATTCCCTACAGTGCCCTTCTAGTAATTAGAGGAGAAGGAGCTTTTCCCCCAACCTATGAAAAGATTTCTGTATTTCTAGTAAACTCATTTATTCTTCCTTTATGTGATTTTCTTTTTTTCCACTTCTGAGACAAGTGAGCAAGCTTTAAGAAAACAAACCCCTTATGGGAAGCACCCCTGCACCTTATTGATCTCTTCATAGTCAATTTATGCAACTGACCTTGGTAATAAAGAAGAACATACTGGATTTACTCATTTATTGGTATTAAAACTTTGAATGAAAATGCAATTTAAATCAATGAAGAAAATATCCTTTTTGTCCTGAGATTTGCTTTAACGTATGATAGCACTGGGTATGTTACAAAGTGGAAGGATAAAAGAGAAGCAAGGCTATTAGGCTGCCTTGCTTATCTTTTCATCAGATAGTCCTGTGGGTACGAATTTGTCTTTGTGAAATTTGGCTACACCTTTGCATTTCAAAAAGCCTGAGAACTTTCCAGTATGTGCATAAAGTGCTAATTATCAATGTCATATGTACTGTGTCAAAACATCGTTCATTGGGCTCTTTTTCTTTTATTTTCTTCTAGTGGAAGACCTACAATCCAACTTTTTCACAAGTGGAAATATGGTTCCGATTTGTCTTTGTAGTTCTTACTTTTATGGTCACGGTAAGATTTTGTTTCAGTTTTTCTGGAGTGTATTATATAGACAACTGATAACACTGCTCTGTAGTGCTGTGTAAGCCCAGGCAGCTGAGTTGATGTATCACTGAATGGATGCAAAAAATGTTAATGAAATACTCATGTAGTTGCTGCTTTTATGTTTTTACAAGTGGTATTGAAGGGACATTAAGAAAATAGGATAAATGGGAAAACTTGCTTTTCCAAACTCTGATTTTGGATTAAACAGAAAGAATTTTGCTTAAACAGAGGAAATTGTGATTAGATGCTAGAAGAAGTATTTTTTTTGCAGTACAGGTAGGCTCAGACTTTGGAATAGGATGGCCAGAGTGTGGGCTGTTTGTGTCTGAAAATGAGCAAAACATCAATATGAACCTTGATCTAACTTTAAAGTTATCATCGCCTTGAGTGTGAGGATGAGCCAGATGACCTCCAGAGATGCCTTACAATCTAAATTATGCTATGATTTAGATTAGCTCTCCTTTCCAACCTGGTTTGGCCCTGGAAAAGAAGTATTTGGGGGGAAAAAAAAATAAAAAAAAAATCTAAAATGTTGAATTTTCAGAGTAGGGACACCAAAGTACTGCACACTTGCATAACATTTTTCTCACATAGATGATGTCACTCAGCAGGTAACTGTGAATATAAAATGCAAGCTGCTTTTTTAAAAAGTCAGTTTAGGTGGAACTTGATGATAGCGTATGACCAGTAATGAGGCAACATTTTTTTTCACACATTGTCTATTTTCACAGTACTACCTGGTTTACTTCTCAATTTGCTTGAGAAATTATGTAATTTGCATTGGGGTCAGCCAGCAAACTTGAAGTAGAGCCTAACAGACCTGGCTCATGTTTTACTGTGTTCTCAGAGGCAAAGACCTCATGAAGCAGCCTTTGCAATGTGCTCTTAACTCTGGTTAAACCGTTAAGGCTGTATCCCTTCCTTACAAATTGTTGTTTTTGTTGTTTTATAGTGTCTGTTTGCACATTCTCTGCGGAAATTCTCCATGAGAGACTGGGGTATTGAACAGAAATGGATGTCCATCCTACTTCCTCTCTTGCTACTTTACAATGGTACTTGTATCCTGGAATTTTTCAAAAAGCTCCTTTTTAAAAAAGAAATAGAAAAAAAGACAAAAGAGAGAGAAAAAGGCAAAATGGAATTCCTCCTTGAACTTATAAGCAACTGTTTATAAGGCTTCAGAAAACTAAATAAAAAAATCTTAACAACCCTTTTCAAGTGTAGCAAATTCAAGGGCATAACGAGTAGGTGGATTTAATTCTTTTCAGTCACATCAATGTCAACTATTTGTTTAATGCTCTGATTGGAATAGGTGCCTACCATACCAAACCTTTCAGTTTCTGTTCATCTGCTAAGTCTTACTTCTTCATTTTTCAGATACTCACACTTCAGTTAAAAATGGAGGCTACTTTTAGTCCAGGAAAACACATCAAATTCTAGCACTTTCTAGCAGTACTAAAAGAATATTTGCATTTTAATCATTGAGTGATAATTTTTAGGTCATCACTATTAACAGTGGTTTAGTAGAAAGTCTAATAAAACTTGAAATCTTTTAGAAATGTTGGCAACCATTTGAGATTATTTCTACAGCACAGAGGATTGCTGCTGGAGGCACCATTTTCTTTATTAATTTCTTTAAGATAAAGCAAACTTCAATTTCTTTTACTGGTGTAATTTGAAAAATCTAGGGCTTTTTGTTCCTCTGAAGATACGTTCTGCTTTACTTTTTATAATGAAAGGTTTTCTTCTCTCTGTTTAACTTTTTTTTTTTTTCTTATTTATTTTACAGATCCATTTTTCCCCCTTTCTTTTCTGGTCAACAGCTGGTTTCCTGGAATGCTGGATGATCTATTCCAGTCACTGTTTCTGTGTGCACTGTTGTTGTTCTGGCTTTGTGTCTACCATGGTATAAGAGTACAGGTAAGGGTGCACCAGTATCTACTACTAATTGAGAAGAGAGTACTTGTTTTTTTTCAGTTCTCTCAAAAGGTGACAAAAATGAAATGAAATATTTTAAAGAGAGATGTTTATTTTACTCATAAAGTACAATGTGACATATGAAGCTTTGGAGTTAAAATGATTTATGGTGAAGTAGATTATCTTGATTCCAACAAGTCTAAATGAAATAGGTGGGACAGTCTTCAGAATCATGATGCTATTATGCTTTTTCTTGCTTGAAGGGTTTTGTTATTCTATGTGGTATTCGATTGGTTTTTTAAACTAGTTTAAAATTCTGCTTAAGAGAAATATGAATTCTGGAGCATGTTCCTTTATTTGCATTATCAGTGAAATATATGGGACCTTATAAATAGGATGCTCCAACTCTACTGCATCTTATTAACACAAATGATGATACAATTTTATGTCTTCTCTAAATCACCTGTGCAGGATAAAAATGCAGAAGGATGAGTGTTTTAATCTAGTTCATGTTGAGTGAAACAAAGAAGACAGTTATTTTATTTTGTCAAGAATGAATAAAATCTTAAATGTAGTTCACTTCTTCACCACAGTATTGTTTTCTCTACAGGGGGAAAGAAAGTGCTTAACTTTCTATCTGCCCAAATTCTTTGTTGTTGGACTATTGTGGCTGGCCTCTGTTACACTGGGAATATGGCAAACGTAAGTAATTTAAAATTTAGTGCAGAAGTATGAGCTGAGAGTGTTCAAGAATGAGAAGGTTGTTTATAACTAGTGGTAGAGAAATGCATTTTCTAAAAAACAAATGGGGAGATGAGACATGATTACAATTTAAATCCTCCATATTTCTTCCAAATTGGGTTAGGAAACGAGAATGTTATATACAGTAAATTGTCACAACTGCATTTGAATTAATGGCATTGCACCAACTTATATGGTGAAAACCTTTATAGTAACTCTAAACCTTTTCTTTTGAGTGGGTTTCTTGGTCAGTATGTCTTTTTGACCTTGTCTGGAATGGTGCACATACCAGTTTTTAATTTTGAATATTTTCTAGCGTTAATGAAGTACATGATCCTACATATCAATACAGGGTTGACACAGGCAATTTTCAGGTAAGTCAAAAATGTTTTCTTGCTATTAAATTGTCAGGTAGAGTTAGGCAATACAAGGAGATGGGGTTTGTTCTTCTATAAAAATCTATAACACAATTTAGAAAAGAGAAAATGCTGGTCAAATGGTCTTACTCTGACTAGAGTATTTTTAATTTTGCATTAGATAGATGCATAGACCATATTGAACTCCATATTGAGAAGGGTAATTTGTCCTGCAGATCTAGAGACTCAACACCACAAGACTCATGACTGTTGAAAATGAAAGAAAAATTTTTAAGCCTCTTATTAAGTCAGCTTTGTATATCTTTACTCCTGCCAAGATTGACTGTCCTAGTAAATTTTAGGCTTTCTTGCTGTAAAGGAAGATCTGATGTACCTTGTTTGTACCTTATCAAGGATTGATACCAATCCTTGTATTGTTCCTGTGAACAAGCCGTGTTTTTAGAAAATCATGGTGATTCAGCTCACTGTGAATTTGGTGAAAAATGCTGGTTTCTATGAAATGTCCTTTACATTCCCTAAAATTCAACCTGGATGTATCACCATCCTCATTTCATGAGCCAGCTTTTCCTGCATAAATGGACTGTTATATGTTGTGCTTTGGGAAATAATGATTTCTACTGAGGGAAGGAGGAATAGACCAAATGTCATTAAATAATAAAACCTAACACTTTTCTTATAGGGAATGAAGATCTTCTTCCTTGTGGTGGCAACCACATACATTCTCTACCTTTTGTTCCTGATAGTGAGGGCATGCTCAGAACTTCGAAACATGCCTTATGTTGGTAAGGAATATTTTTTTTTTTATTCTTCCTCAAACAGGGTTGTTTCTCCTAGATGTAGGTGTAAATTCACTAATAACAACTTTTCTCAATTTTTTTCAGATCTCAGGTTAAAATTCTTGACTGCATTAACATTTGTAGTGCTTGTTATTAGGTAAGGCTTTTCAAAGTACCTTTCTCAGAATTGTAACTTTTATAACCTTTTTTTCAGAGCTTTGAGTACGTTTTCTAGATAATAAAATTGTCAATGAAGCTGAAGAATGTCTTTAATATGGCTGTTGTGGCAAGCATTTTTAATTTTTTAGCCTTTCTTAAGGCTTTTTGAGCTAAGTTTATAGTATTGGTATTACCATGGCAATGCACTGCAAGATTTAGAGGTTCACTTAGCAGAGATATTTACTGCTGAGTGGTGTGCAATCGCACCATTCCCCTCTTCTGGAGTTTTGTAAACGTCACTTAGTCAAAGCAGAAGTCTACAATTAGTTTCTTAGATTATTGTTAATATCTTTCTCGCCCACTCCAAGCTGTTACTTGGATAGTATGTAGTGGATGAAATCTGAGGAGTTTTTCCATTTTGCTCAGTTGACTGCTGACTTTTAATCACAAAATAATCCTTCTTAATTTAGAACTATGAAAGCAAGTCTATTTTAAAATAACCGGTCAGCACGTTAACATAATTATTTTCTCATATACTCTTCTATCAACCTACTATTTCAATTTTGAATTTTAAAGACAGAGTGCACCTATGTGTTTTATTTTTTTTTCCCCCACAGCATCGTTATACTCTACCTACGCTTTGGAGCACAGGTTCTACAGGATAACTTTGTTGCTGAGCTGTCGACTCATTATCAGAATTATATCCTTGTGTTGTGATACTGCTCAAGTAGGAATGTTAAGCTGTTTTCATGCAGAAGGTACTTCAAAATGATGTACCTAAGACTGAGACCTTTGACTTTTAGGCGGACTTTTGCAGTTAAGTCTGTTTTGTTCAAGGTTTTACGTCAGCATTTTGTAATGACTCCTTGTAAAGATTATGAGCTAGACAGTCTCAGTCTAATTTGTTCACATCATGAATCACAACTGCTTTTGATACTCTTCAAAAGGAATGAAGGCTTAGATATGCATGCCTGGTGCATATTGAAGTCATTTTAATTAGATACTATGACAAATTTGGCTGCATTTGCTGCCTCAGTTGTTTTCTGTGTACCTGTCAGTCAGCATGGGGCGTACTAAAATATGAGAAATTAATAGTTTAGAAGGCACTGTTTGCGCATTGGTCCAAGTCTACATGTGGTATAGGTCATAGCAGAGAATTTAAGTGACTTGAGAGAGACTATTTCTGATGTCTGTTGACAAAGGATTACAACGTGTATTCCTGACCTGAACCATGAGATCCCAGTTCATTGTACTTTCTGAAACTGCCTGTGCAACTGCAGCTGCTCTGGTTACTGATAAGCTTAGATATGTGTTGAGAGGTAGTAGAAAACAGTATGTAAAGCCTTTAGTATTTTCCTAAAAGCATGGCAAGAAACCATCTTCAGAGTTCTATCTACGGATAGTCCTTTCTCCTTCCTTCCTAATTACTGTGCCAAGGAGAAACTTTTAAACTTTTAAAACACCTGAACACCCCCACTTACTCAGCTTTCTTTTAGCACTGAAGGCAGAACCATTTGACTGACCATGCACTCCACTGCTTGAGTAGACCATACCTCAGCAAATGTTACTTGTGTTAGAGCGTTGTTTTCAGTGGGAGCTTTAGCTTGAAATAGCTCGAGTACATAAGTTGTCATTGAAAATAAAACATGCAGTTTTGTTTAGCCATTCATGCTCTCAAACATCAGTAAGGTAAACGTTCTTTCCATTGAAACAGCTTGTGTATGGATTGGGTCTCGTTTCCAAAGTTAATGTGTGTGGAACTATATTGAGCAATATCCTTGACACTTACTACCAGCAGAATTCTTATCATTTTATGGTTTACTGAACTTTTATCTCTACACGTTAGCCTTCGTGTATTCCCCCTCGAAGAATGCACTATATGGTAAGTGTAAGCTGTTGTCTGGCAAACTTGTATGACAAGAACTGCCATATTAGCAGATACTGTGCAATCTCTTTATATTTTGATTGTCTCGTTACTATTCCAATTTCCTTTGAGTTAACATAAGCAGAAGCTGCACTGCTCCTGAGCAAATTAGGAACACATAAAATGTAATAACTGATGAGTTAGGCTTGAATTCTTATGCACTTAGATCAAGTGTATAGTCAGTATGACGTTTGCATGTAATGCACCAACTTTTGAACTGACTCACACACAGCCCTTAAGGCACAACATTACTTCACTTCTACTTTGTTCTAATGAAAGTTTATATATTGGCATGCTGGCAAACTGGACTCTGAAATCAGTAACATGCTGTTGGAACAGTAGGAGTGAAGCTGATCTCTAATGGGAGAGGAATTTTGGAGAACTTGCTATGGGGAGGGCTGCACAGGATCCATGTTAAAGGAGATAAAGGATTGAACCAGTAGCACTTCTGCTTTTGCATTCCTGTGTAGAGGATACAGTCTGACTTACAGGATGATTATAAAGCAGTTCTCTCTCTAACAGATAAAGATCTTTAAAATAAATATTTGTACTGAGTCCATTCTCTGCTTTAAGCATTGAGTTCATGATATAGAACTATGGAACAGCCGAGGCTGGAAGGGACCTGGAAAGATCATGCAGTCCAGCCTTTCATGGGAAAGGAAGCCTAGATGAGATTATCTAGTGGCCATTCATACCTTACATGCTGAGAGCATGCAGGGGGAAGGCACTAAATAGTGGAGCTGGTCCTTTCTCTAAATTTTTAGAGTTGAGATGGATGGAACCATTACCAAAAAATGCTATTTTTCCATTAAGAATGGAAAAAGAACTGGCTGGATGAGGGTTGCAAGAAATATTTCTTCGTAGATGGTAGAGAGTAAAAGGCTGCCAGGAAAAAAATATTATGGCAAATTGCTAAATTGAATTCTACTATGAACTGCAGCTAAGCAGCACAGATTGTGCAAGAAATGAAGGCCTTAGAATAAGGTAGAGGGAATTATCATAGCTGGTGGAAAGTATGTGTTTCTTTTCATTTCACTATAAAGGTACAAGTCCTTCCTTCATCTCTTACAAGGATGAAAAGTAACCAGATAATCACTGACTTACAGTCAAGGGATTCCAATTTTGGTCTACTATATTTGTAGCTTAGAAATAACCAAAACCACAAGTCTGTGCTTTTTAAATACATACAAACTTTTGATAAAGAATAATGAACTCTGAATTAACTTATGTGCAAATTGAAATAATATGACATAGGAAGCTGCATAAGGAAGGAAATCAACTTATACAACATGGAGAATATCTATCTAAAACTGAGATAATTTGTCATTTCCTTCACTCTTAATACCATGACAATGTGGCTGAAGGGTGGAGAATTTAAAGGAGAGAATTCCTGTTTGGATATAGTTTTGTTGAATTGTAATTGTGACTGCCTTGGAAGTTGTTGTGTCTGTTGCTACAGTGTTGTGTTAGAACTAGTCACATTTCTACATTTAACACACTAAATTAACCCTTATTTGTATTTTCCAGAATCACAGTTGAAAGACAATCCTGCTTTTTCTATGCTGAATGATTCAGATGATGATGTGATTTATGGGTAAGATTATAAAATACTACAGAGAGTTACTTCTGGTGTGTATATTATTTTTGTAATGTTCTTTTCCATATTCATTATATAAGTGAATGGTTTGTTAGTGAAAGTATTCTGCCTGAAGAACAGAAATATAGCCTTTTTCTGAAACAGAAATGCAGTGAGAATGCATGTTGTTTTTTCTTTTCTTTGGTTTCTAAAAGGGATTACCATGGCACTGATACAAACAGGTAAGAAAGTCTTATGATGCTGGTAGGTCATGGAGTGAAGGCAGCAAGAGCTGTGAAAGGAAAGGGCTTCCTTTTTACACTGGGAAGGACAGCAGGAGTCAAGTGGAGTTAGCAAAGAGGCATCTCATCTGTAAATGCTTCAGGGAAGGAGAATGGTGCTTCTTAAGTGTCCAGCGCTTTCTGAATTAAGAATAGCCAAGTCTAGCAAAATTTCCTTGACTTCTGTGAATTTATGTAATATGAGAATTATAGTAGCACTTGAAACCCATCCCAGTCAGATGGCTCTGTGCTGGACACTGAAACCCACTTGTTATCTGCCCTTGATTTTTCACCTCTTACCAAAGACATTGAAGTGGCTGGAACCGTGAATGGGACCAACGCTGCACTAACCTGAACAAGTTCATCCATTGCCTGGGCTAGCTTGCCTTTGGTTAGTTAGATGAGTAGTGATAGTGCCAGCTTGCTTCTATACAAATCTGTGTGAAAAGTGGCTTGTAGTTACTGGAATAACTTTTATTACACATTGTCCTCTGGAGAAAATTCATATATGTTGTTCATATCTCCCACAAGGAAGAAAACCAGATACTAGCTTCTTACCCAAGTAACATTTGATGCCTCAATGTAGTTTAGAACTTCCTGTTTATTTTCAACTTCCTATCTGAACACCATATTCAGAAGTTTCAACAAGTATCTGTTTCGCAGGAGTGACTATGAAGAAATGCCACTTCAGAACGGCCAAGCTATTAGAGCCAAGTATAAAGAGGAATCAGACAGTGATTGATTGATTGATTTTGATGCAGACAGACTTGTTCAGTTGGAATTAAGCCAATTTTGAAGTTTTCCTAGATGGACATCTTCCTTGGCTTCCTTACAGTCTGCTGTCATTTTAACACCAACTCCCGGGAAGGACATCCTGCTTCTGCTTCTGTTTACAGAGTTAAAACTGAGAAAACGAATGCTTGAAATGGTTGGGGTGAAAACTTAAGAAACCAAAATTTTTACATGTCTTATAAAATGCTTGATAGCAGGATGTCTGTGAACTAAAATCTTTAAGTCTATTTCCATTTCAAAGTCTCACGAATTATATACTGAGTTGCGAATTGCTTCCTTGCTGCTTGGTTTTGGTGGGTTTTGTTTGGTTGGTTTTTGTTTTGTTTTGTTTTTTTTTTAGGATGATGTACAGCATACTGCCATTCATCTGTTATATTTGCATTAGCTGCTGTGTATATTGTCCACTGCTGTATGAAGTTCCTCATTCCCCTTTCAATTTTCTACCTTAGTCTTTTGAGCTGGAGGCAGGGAATGAACTAGTCTTTTTTTTTTTTAATTAATACAAGAAAACACAAGCTTTCTTTTCTTCCTTTGAATAAGTGATACAGACTTAAGACCATTTTTTAATAAGTTTACTGGATTTGTAAGCGGAAGCTAGTCAAGTTCTTGTGAGCCAAAATAGTCTCAGTGGTGCAAAATTATTTGTATAATGTATGTTTCCTGACATCCTTTACAGCCACAACAGAAGTGTCTATTGTTTTTTCTTAGAACAGCCCTTTCAAATTGAAATATTTCAGCAACAGCAAATCTCAGAAGGAGGCCTGTACTTTTCTTCTTGCTCTTTTTGTATACTGGAGGAGACTGTTGCACTTACAGAGAATACAGTATGAAAGTTTCATAAGTAATTGCAATTTCAAATTTCCAAACATTTCACTTTTACAGATTTTTTTTCTACATCAGAATTTTTCCTTAAGTTGTATTAGGGAATAGTTAATCTACATCCTAGGAACAACTGTGGTTGCTCATGTACTGAATGGGCCTGAGAGTTAGCTTGTGAGCATGTTCTGTGCATAGTTCAGCTGCTTTGTCATACCACAGTCACCACCTGTACTGAGGGGAACTTTTTTAGCACATTTTGTGATTATCTGTATTCCAGTCTGTGCTGGAACAAAGTTATATGGGAATTAAGTATTCCATGTACAATGCTGCTGCTCTATTTAGAAGTTGGTTTTCTCCTACACTACTGTTCAGTTCTTTATTTAAGTGGGTGCTGTTTGTTTTTTATAAATGCTTTTGTTCTCAGATACTTGGCCTGTTTAAAAGTATCTCTTTTTCTTATGGATTTGTAACTGAGATTTACTCCTGTAAAATTTCTCTGCCCCGCTGCTACAGAAGGCTCTCAAAAGCACTGTTCATGTATTAGAATATGGTGCTGGGTTGCACTAGAAAATCGTGCTTATCGCTGAAGTATTTAAAGCAGAATAGTGCAATAAAGTCCTGCTAGACTTGCTGAATCATATGGGGGAGAAAATAGATTTATTCTGCTTTGGTGCAACAACTGCTCTAGACCATTCCCATTGCAATAACCTTTTGGTTCAAGATCATGAAGGGGAGACTTCACAGGGCAGCAATTCAGTTAGGGGGGACCAAAGGAACTGCTTCATGTGGTTGCATCCTTGTTATCATAGAATAGTTCAGATTAAATCAGTGCTCTGCTAAAGACGTGTACTGAGACATTGTGTGTGTGTGTGTGTGTGTGAGAGAGAGAGAGAGAGAGAGAGAGAGAGAGAGAGAAAACTTTCTACAATTATGGAGAGCTATGAAATTTTTGAGAGTATCTGAAATTTAAAACTTTCTGTGCCAGGGATCGTTTATTTGTTAGAAGCCAAAGCACTGCTGTATGGCAAAAGCAAGGAAACTGCTGGGGGAGAAGGTTTTTCCCTTTAATTTCTTAATTGGTGTTACTTCAGAAGAACATATAGGAAAACATTCAAGAAGTATTTCAAGTTATGGGTGGTTTCCTTTCCAGTGAACTATTGTAAGCTCTTCCTCCAGCACTTCCTTTTAGACTTTTTTTAACAAGTATGGGAGATGCTCTGTATCCTAAAATTAGAGAGCCCATTCTCATTTTTACTCTTCCTGAGGCCTACAGCTATTTGAATTTGCAGAGTCAGGTTTGGGAGCCAACTTGGATTGTTTGCATACCCCAAATCCTTTTGAGTTCCATTAGAGTAACAGCGGGTACAGAAAGTAGGTCTTCAAAAACTGATATTTACATGATACTTATATATTCAGATATTTTTTCTCTGATACTGTTTAATTCACTCTGTTTAATTACTGTTTAATTGTTCTGAAGAGAGAAAATTTGACCAATGTGCAAAGTGCACTAATGTTTCTTATACAGTCTGAACTGGTTGTTACAGTTAACTCTGAAATAGTGTCATGCTTTGGTATTTCATTAACTAAAGAATGTATTTATAACCTACGTTTGAGGGGTTTTTTTTCTAAGTTTTTCTCAGCCCATTTCTCTTGCTGTTTTGTTTGCATTAACTTTACTACATCACTACATTCAAAGTGGCAATAGAAAAGTGAAGAATGGGAAATTGTGCTTAAAGCAAGTTTCTCACTATGAAAATAGTGAGAAAATAGTTTCCGTGTTAATTTTTTGAGATTCTATTTAAGCAATGTTTGCCATGCCAGTTAGCTTTATATTTTGAAAGTGCTAGTGTTATGGTGAGCTTGGTTGAAGCACTGTCGCATCAAATTCAATTTACAGTAAGATGACAAAAGCAGTGAAGCGGTTTTAAAGAACTAGTTTTGGTAGCAAGAAATCTCAATTTGACTCCTTGTATTTCCATGATTGGAAAGCAGAGACGGTATTTGAAGAATGCTACAATATGAATTGAAAACAGCTTGGAAATAGGTGGTATAAATTCACCTCTGAGTATTGTAACCTAAGGGTGAAACAGAAGAAATCTGGGTAAGAAACTAGCCAGGTTTTCCTTTCACTACTGCTAAAGTAATTATCTCCATCACGAGTGGAACTGTATAACACGAGAAAAGTACACAAAAAGGCCCACAGCATCCAGTGATCCTGCTCTAAGGAGAGGCTATTTATTAAATAACTGCAAGACTTTCACCTACGCAATGATCACAAGGGACTTTTAAGAATCAGTCGAGTGTGAGTCATTCATAGCAACTATTTTCTGTAGTATTTGCTTTAAAAATACAGTTGATGTTGGAATTGGAATTGGTTGGAAACTTTCCTACAAGTGGCAAAGAAGAGGAAGCCTAAGGTTTAACACCAGTGAGACACAGCTCGTGCATTGAACCTCTCATTCCAATATTGGGGAGAATGGTTCCAGCTAGGAAAGACTTTGATCTGTTGTCTCTGAGCCAAATGACAATTTTTTATCCATAGTTTCCCCACCTATTTCCTTTTGCTTATGCCAGTAATAACCTTTGCATTACTGTAAAACTTTTTTTAGAAGTTTGTAAATATGTAAAATGAAAATATGGAAAAATTGTGTACCAAAATGGTATAAAAATGTGTAAGATAAATGCTCTGTTTAATGAGAAGCTGTAATTAAATGCTGCTTTGAGAAAGTGTGCATGAGGATGTGTTAAATATTCTGTGTATCCAGAAGTTGTACTGGTAACAGCAAATATCCATTTATGTTGTAAAACTTCATGCTAATATGGAAAATGAAGGAAAACTGAATATTTTACTTAAAGTTTCTTGGAAGAATTCATGGGCATAATCATTGTTAAATATGTTCATAATAAAGTTTTATACCTTTATATTGTATTTTGGTTTTATTTTTCTTCTAGTGAATTTTACTTTCCTTCTCATGAACTGTACCATTTGCATGACTTAGAGATATTTTCAGTTTACGTGCATTTTCTTACGCATATTTAAATTTGGTTAATTGCATAAGGATGGGATCCAAGAGGATGTGTTGGGGTTTTTCATATTTTACCCTGCCTGGACTTGAAGGTGGAAGCTGGAAGGGCAGGTTGCTAATTTCCCTAAATACGTTAGCCAGGTTTACAAAGGGGACCTGGCATTTTCAAATGGCTTCACAGTGGCTTTGCAGAGCCTGCTGAGGTCACGCTGGCAGTGAGAATCCCCTTGGTGAGTACTGGTGCCAGCAATAAAAAAAGGTTTAGAGATGGTGAGGATGCTGATGTCATTCTTCAACTTCTTACAGCTCTGTATCTTCCAAGAGGATGCTCATAGCTGACAGACTGCAAGTGATCAGCAGCACATCACTCTCTGTTTGGGGTGGTGCCATTCTTTAGATACTGAAATCTCACCGTGTGCTAAATAAAACAGCCACAAACTTCCCTGCACAAACGGATATGCAACCTAGTCCTGCTTTAGTATCAGCTATGGTAGTGCTCATTTACAAGCAGCATTTAATCCTGAAGCCATTTCCTTTAGGTTTTAGTTAACACAGTGGTGGAAGACAGGTCATACTCATTTGTGGCAGGGACAGTAAATGGCTGCCCCCTTCCTCCTCCTCCCCTCCAGAACAGGGCTGCCATGTCCCCGATTTCTATAAGTGTAGGAATATGAAGAGCCACAGCGGTAAGAGAGAGACAGGAACCAGAGAGAGACTTTATAAGTACTTTCCTGAACACTCCAGTCCACAGTAAGTAATAATTTTTCTTAAGGCCAATTAGTTACCTAGAGCAAGGACTCTGCAAGCTCATTACGCGAATGCTTTACTTTGGCACGGAGATAAGTTGGCCAGCAGTCTCTGAAAAAAGTGATTGAAACGGAGGTGTTTGAAGATATTTAAAATTTAAAAATTAGTTACTGCAGAACACTGAAGCTGTAACTGAAACAGTGGCTATACAATTTTACAGAAAAGCCCTATCTTAATTCATGGGAGGGGGACACCACCCAAAAAACTCACAACCTCTACACCCCTTTCTGTAGTCCTAAAACTGTTATAATGGAAGTATTGGTTATTGCTCACATATAAAACCATCTATAAAACTGTCTACCTTTCTGTAGCACAACTTCTATTTTAATACAACAGTGTTTGCCTCCCTTTACACTGACAACCTTTACACTGACAACCATCTCAAATGGGTTTTTTTCTGCAGCTCAGCACATGCATGAACCAACAAAAAGCAAAAAAAAAAAATCAAGGGATTTCTTCTTATTAAACATGAACAAAGGACAAATGTTTGAATGGCTTCACCAAGAAGCAAATATTGACACTGAGTTCTGTTTCTAGTCAAACCCATGCTAAGCGCTCTCTGCTATGGAAATGTAGGTGCATACTCAGGTTGAGGTATATACATTCTATATAGGCCTACAGCACTCACTAGGACATACGTGAGAATAATGATATCATGAAGGAGATGTGTTTACAGAGATGTTTTGAAACTGGTATGTTATATCCTCCATTGTCATTTGAATTTTCAGTATTACATCTTTCCAGATCATTGACAGATGACAATGACAGATCAGCTGTCATCTCACTCTAAACCACTTTAGGTGAGCCAGAGTCTGAAAACGTTGGAAAGGGCTTCCTAAGCAGAAGCAAATCCAGGTGGCTCAAACTGACTGTAGCCCAAGAATAACTCTCCCACACATGCTTTGTAATTCTTTCACCTTCACTAGCAGTGAGCTTACTGCTTACAGAAGCAGCATAGCAGTTCACAGAGGCTTCCTGAAATTCATAGCATGCTCCCATTTCTTTAATTGGCTGACAAAACCTTATCCAAACCTGAAAACTTGTTTTACTTGTTATTCCTCTGCAACTTTACTCTAGAAGGCAGGAGACTTATTCACGTGTTATTTAGTCACCTTGCCTCAGGGCAGTTTCTTCCCCTTTCAGAAAGTATCATGTTTCACTAAATACCAGAACTCAGTCACACTCACTCTCAGCAAAATCAAGTAAGTTCAAGACCTACTTGACACATGTAACTGGCTGCAGAAGTGAACCAGGGAACTGAGCACCTCTAGAATGTGAAAAATTTCTTATCTGTCTTTGTTCAGTGAAGATAGTTATTTCTGTTATCGTTCCATGCCCTAAACACCATACAGTCAGATTAAATAGGTCCCAAAAATGCAGTCAAGTTACTTTCTGATACTCTAATTTTCCTGCAACTTTGTAGTGACTTCGCAAATTTATGAAAGTGCTTTGTATTCTGATATGTACCTGAACTACCTTGAAGAGAATTAAAAGAACTAGAACTTTTTTTCAATAACAAAGTTTAAATGAGTCACACCAATGGTTATGAATTTCAATAATTTAATGCTAACCAAGAATACAAAGTGTGAAAATGAGTGTCTCATTTATATTGGTCTTAAAAAAGAAATCTAGAGAAAGTGTTTACACTGCAGCAGATTTCAGTATTAGCACCTTGAAGAGAAGTTTTGAAGTGATAAGAAAGTATAGAAACACTGGTAGGATACTAGGTACAAACATAAACCATGTAACAGCATGTTCTCATATTTCTACGTTTGAAGAAAAGTTACTTTAAAAATACATTAAAAAC